ATGTGTGTGTATGTGTGTTTTAGCTTAGTTTTAATGTAATCTAGAATGGCCAATAAAATTCGTGTTTCATTTATAAAGAATCATTGTCTGATGTAGTATCATTTTAAAGTCAAACCCTTGCCAAAAATCACGTTACCTCTCTAAGAGCTTACAAATTATCATAATTGTATTGCCTCATGGCCCTGACAGAGATGTGGATCAAACCAGAGGACAATGCTACACCTTGCAGCACTCTCCAATAATTTTTCTTTTTCCCACACGGGGTCTGACTGGAAGAGGTCGAGGTACTGGTCTGCTTATCTCTAATGATTGGAAATTGAATCCTTTACCATCTCTGAGTATCAACAGCTCCTTTGAATCACATTCAGCCACTATTACCCACGACTACGCAACCAACTGGACCTTATTTAAACACGACACTGCTCCACTGATCATGTGCTGGTTACGCCACTGCACACCTCGGATCACTTTCTCCTCACTCTTAACCTCAACATGGTTCCTGACATAACACATACCCCTACACATGTCTTATTCAGATCAGTACTATATAAAAATAAAATGCATTTTGTATGATCCCTCTTATTTTGATAAAATAATTATCATTTTGCAGATACCAAAATGTCAAGATGTCAAAATATGTTATATTAAATCTGCAATCTCTGCCGACCTTGACCAGCTTCAGTTTGCATATAGAGCAAACAGATCAACAGAAGATGCAGTCATCACAGCTCTCCACAAAGCCCTTACACACCTGGACCAGGGAAACACCTGTGTAAGAATGCTGTTTGTGGATTTCAGTTCAGCTTTTAATACAGTCATTCCCCATAGACTGATTCAAAAACTGTACAATAATGGCCTAGGCAGCTCACTGTGCACATGGATACTGGATTTTCTAAGCAACACACCCCAGAACGTCAAGATGGGAGTTCAGACATCATCTACTCTCATCCTAAACACTGGCACGCCACAGGGATGTGTTCTTAGTCCCCCTCCTCTACTCCTTCTTCACCAATGACTTCTCGCCAATTCATCCTAGCAATACCATCTTCAAGTTTGCTGATGATACCACCATAGTAGGACTGATAACAGAAAATAATGAGACAGCCTACAGGGAGGAGATTCAGCATTTCACAGAATGGTGTCATCACAATAATCTGGACCTAAACTTCACTAAAACCAAATAAATGATTGTAGACTTTAGAAAATGTAAGTGCACTGAGCACTCTGTCCTCTGCGTACACAAGAAGGAGGTAGAGAGGGTAGAGAGCTATATATTTCTTGGTCTGCACATCTCGGCTGACTTCGCCAGGTCCACATCCCTCTCCCACCAGAATGGAATAGCCCAACAGAGAATTTACTTTCTTGGGAAGTTGAAACATGCCCACCTCTCTCAAAATCTACTGACCAACTTCTGTCGGTCAGCAATAGAGCCTCCTAACCTACTGCTACACAGCGTGGTTTAAAAGTTGGGTTACACTTTATTTCGATAATCCACTTTAGACATTCTATTAACTATAAGTAACTTTGTAACTACATGTCAACTACATGTCAACTAATTATCATTAATTTGCAACTACCAATCTGTTCCACCTTTATTTGACCCTCTAACTCTAGCACATTCTATTACTATATACATGTACTGCATTAGGCTAACCAAGACTTGTCATTTGCACTTATATATTGTTGCTCTTTTGTTAGTTTTGACTGCTTTTATTTTTAAAGAAAACCACCACTTCCCCTGAAACTGTCGGGAGAAAAAAATATTCGGTTACACTTTATTTCGATAGTCCACTTTAGACATTCTATTAACTATAAGTAACTTTGTAACTATATGTCAACTACATGTCAACTAATTCTCAGAGTAGACTGTTAGGGTAGGTTTAGGGTTAGTAGAATAAGTTGACAAAGAAAGTGTTTTAGTAGACACTTTAACAAGTGTCTACTAATACTCTACTAACTGCTAGTTGACATGTAGTTGCAAAGTTACTTACTGTTAATAGAATGTCTAAAGTGGACTATCGAAATAAAGTGTTACCAAAAGTTGCACAGAAGAATGACCTGCAGCAAATAGTGAGGCCAGCTGAGTGTGTCATTAGTTTGTCACTACACATACTCAGTGACATTTATACTGGCTGACTTCAAAAGAAGGCCAACTGCATCTTAAAAGACCCCACTCACCCTGGACATCATCTGTTCTCCCCACTACCCTTCTGGAGAAGACACAGACTAATACAATCCAAAACAAACAGACTGAAAAACAGGTTCTTTCCCCAGGCAGTTAAATGCTTATATGCATACCCCCACACTCCCACGCAATACATAAGACTGTGCAATAAACCCCTACCTCAAAGAAAAGAAAGTGCAATAACTTATCCCACCCATTATATTCTACACTGCACTATACTTTACTCTGCACTACCTCACTGTACTCACTTGTTATCTCTGTATTTATATACAGTATATCTTCATTCTATATTTATGCCTTTGTCATTTTGTATATATGTATTGTCTGTTTTTTACTGTTTATTGTTTGTATATATCTACCTATTTTCATTTACATTGTGTTTCCCCGAGGGGAATGAGATGCTGTGTCAGAAACGCTTTGGAAACACTTCTGTGTGACCGTGTCCTGAAGCATGTGCGAAATCAGTCCAATGGAATGGCAAGACGTCACGGGTGGGGTGACATAGAGACCAGGAAGCTTAAAAGCGCAACCGAAACAAACAGCATTATCTTCTGATAGGGCAAATCAAGCTGCTAACAGGGATGCAGGAAGTATGGCAGGGAGACGCAGCATCTAGTTCCCCTCAGGGAACCATGGTTACATACGTAACATAGAGAGGTTCCCCTTTCAGGGAACTCGAGCTGTGTCAGAAACACTTTGGGAATAACAATGCCCACTCCGCCACACTAACAAATGCCTGTCTAGTGTAAAATCATGGTGAGCACAGCTCAGACAGAAGCACCTGAGAGTATGGAGTGGTACCCAAATCTAGATTGTAAAATGTGAGAGGACGTGAAATGTAAAACGTGAAATGGATGTGAGAGGGAGAACCACAGTGGATAGTGTGAAGTCTCAAGACACACTCAAGTCTGGAGACCGCTGTGCCCCTGAGGGCACTGAATAGAGACGGGTACTGTATAATGAGGTCTGAACTGCTTCTCCCCAATTAAGGGAACCAGTCTCTCTTGAGCAATCAGCTTGGTGCCCTGAAGCAGATGACTGGCAGGGACAAACCGAACTGGCTGCTTGATAACCTCCTCAGATGATGCAAGCCTCCCAGTGCCGCCATGTTTCCAGGTGGACACTGAGAACTGCAGTCACTGGAGAACAATGTGCCCCAACGCACCACAGGTGGCAGGGTTAACAGACCAAACTCTTGAAGGCACTAAGGAGAGATGTGCACCGAATAATGTGGTGTAAACCGCTCTTCCCCAGTGGGGCCTGCCCTCAGAAGTCTGATGCCACTGGAATCAAGACTTCTTACTGCACTGAAGCGAGGAGCTGGCACACGGCAGGGGCTGAGACCTGGGTCTGCCGTGTAGGCTTTATCCACCAAAGCCACTTGATGGGTAATGTCAGGGCCTTCAGGAACGATACTGAATCGGTGAACAGATAGCTTACAATTGTCTGTCCTACTTTAAAAATTGTTTAACCTGTTAACCTGCTCCCCCCATTTTGGGACTCACAGCTGAAAATGACCTACCTAAATTAAAATGGTAATAGTTCCTGATAACAGTGTGTTACACACACGATTTAGGTATCTTTGGAAATAAGACACTTTAGGCTTTACTATCCATCATCCAGAGTTGATAATCCTCAAAAAGATAAAAAGTTATAGACACTGAAGTGCCTTGAAAAACATTGTACCACACTGAATGTTTTTTTTTATTTTATTTTTTTTATACAAATACATAATGGGTTGAAAAGTAATGGGTTGAAAGTCACATGTCTCATGAATTTATATTTCAAATTTGAAGAAGATACCATGAAAAATGAGATTCCTGCAGCCATTTTTCTGAGACTATGTCTAGTCCCCCCACCCCGTTTGAGGAAAAATAGCCACCAAATGTAACCCTTACAAATGTAAGGGTTCTACAGACTAGTCTACACTGAATCTCAGACATTGTAGAAGTGATTTATTTCAGCACTAGAAAAATACAATAAGAATATTTTTTGGAGTAATAAAAAGAAAAAACGAAGAGAGGGAAAAAAAAAGAATTAGCTTTGTATGGCAAGTACATACTCTGATTGCCAGACATACAGCATTCACACTGATTGCTGGTCATACAGTCAGTAATCACATGCTGGTCATACAGATGGTAATCATACAGATGGCCAGCCATATAGTCAAAAGTCACACTCTTATGGTCGTTCATATAGACAGCATTCACACTAGCTGGTCATACAGTTAGTAATCACATGCTGATGTGCGGTCATACAGATGGTTATCATACAGATACAGCCACATTCCCCACAAAACACACACACACACACACACACACATATATGAAAATGTTGAATAGGGAAAAAAATAAGTATTTGTGCAAAAAGTCGATCACTAAGTTACGCCCCCAACAGATGACAGGTGCGTCACAGCGTGCATCACTAGCAGTCACGAGAGAGCGCCAGAATTCAAATAAACAAGATTCTGCATATCTTTGACTTTTTTTTTTAGTGGATGGTCTCATTCTGTGTGAGACACTGTATACTACAGAACCATGTTGTTTTTTTACTAACAAGTCACAGTTTTTTGAGCGTAAGTTATTCCATAACGGATACAAACAATAACTCTCCCCGAAGAAATGAGACGCAAACAAAGGAATAACCATCCATATCACAACGTTATTGTTTAGTTGGACTAAAGTTGCTCTATGGGATGTTGTTCAGTGAACCCTTGCCTTTCTAACTGAAACCAGGATTTACAGCAGTGGATGCATTTGTGACTCGTTATTACGATGAATCTGGTACGTACTGTGTGATTATTATGCATGTTTTGATGTGTACTGGTTACACAAATTTAACAAATACATTCCTTATAAGCTTTCCATTGAAAAACAGCGATCTATTGCATGATCTCCACACCTCGGTGTGGAGATCAGGGAAAACCAATAGATCCCGACGTGGAGGTTGTGATTTTGCACTCCAAAAGTGTCCATCCAATTTATTCTTAGAACATCCTGCTTCTCGGCCAGCCAGTCAATGTTTAACCTGACTACGGCACAAGTTACAACCTCCACCAACTCCTCATGTGCAATGGAATGAGGCAGTGAGCCCTCACTCTCTTCTGCATCGATGTGCTGACCTCTTCTGCATCGACGTTCTGACATCGATGTGTAGCACTGTGCTCTCCCTTGGGGGGGGGAGGATGGGAAGAAACCGGAGAGGGTGCTACCGTGCCCCAAGAGAGTGTTGTATTTAGAAGGTGAGGAAGTAGAAAGGGTGAGATCCATCTCCAACCCAACTTCTCAAAGCCAGATGACAATTTCATCATTTAATTCCTCAGAATTACTTGCAGCCAAACAACCAGACAAGTGAAACACGGTCTGGACGTTAAGCTGAATATTATAATATTATATGCAATTTGAAAGAATTGTGAATAATAGCTTGCAAACACATTTACACTGTTGCACGTGGTCGGAGGAAAGAGAGAGAAAGGGAACCTCCCATCTGCTCACAGTTTCCCCCGGCATTATTTTGTTGCAGACCCATAATGCCATGAGATCCGAGCCACTCGAGTCTAAATTGCATAAGACTTTCTTCCCTCAAGAATAAATGCTAACGGGAGCAGAGCTATCATTCCAGATAGTGCACATTTGTACACGTTGGGACATTTAGGCATGAACACATTCAGCCCCCTCAAGAGCTGATTGTGTGTGCTCCGCTCCCAAACAAACAACACAAAGATTGTGTGTATCCGCACTCGTAATGTTTAGTGCAGGCAGGGAAGAACACACGGTCTAAAGTGCTGCCTGTTTTTCTTGCTTGCCATATATAGGTGTGATTGTCCACTGGTACTGACAAACAACAGATATTTCAGACTGACACACACACAGAGCGCTTGCTGAAGACACAAAACCCAACGCTGTTTGTTTTAGATGCGCTTTTAAGCTTCATGTTCTCTACGTCACCCTGCCCGTGACATCTCGCCATTCCACTGGACTGATTTCACATATGCGTCAGGACACGGTCATGCTGAGACGTTCCAAAAGTTTCTGATGCAGCTTGAGTTCCCTGAAGGGGAGCCATATATATTATATGGTGTAAATGTATATGTCAATATATGAAATGGTTACAATTTCTAATAGGTGTCTCATATTGCTGTCAATATAGGTATATTTATGTTTTGAATTTATATGAGCATATATTTCATATATGTACATATATTACATTTGCATATGGGTGTGCTGATGTAAGTATCCCATATAATTCTGCATGTATGTTGTAGAGCTTGAAATTATGAATTTTTAATCAGCGATTTGTCTTACCTCATCCCCTGGCCTGCGTCTCAAGCAGTTTGGGTTAAACTTGTTAACGTGGAGGACATGGATGGCACATTTAATGCTCAGATGATGGAGTTGACTGGTGACTTTCAGGAACAAGAGATCATTCTGTGAGAAAAGAACATCAGTTTCTAAAGGGTTGAAATATGTTCATTTGAAAAACATTGCATTTTTCACACGAGGGTAGAGATAACTTTTGGTCTTACGACTGTTAGATACTGTAGCATGCGGCCATCAACCTTGCTTTCATAGAACTGATCTTTGTACTGTGGTAAACCGATGTCATCAAGCCAACCTGCAGATGGAAAATGGGGCAGTGGAAACAATTTGGCAAAATACATGCACTTATTTTAATACTGTCAATACTGCAATATCATGTAATGATTATGAAGGATGCAGACTTACATACACATAACTAAAGCCTAAAACCTAAATTACCCCTCTTTGCTGCATGGCAAGCAGTAGTATTTCCTTCAGGAAGTGAAAATATAGCTATTTTATTAATATAAGTACATACGTGTAACCCAAATGTGATCCAATTCTGAAGATTTCTCCATTGTCTTGTTACTAAAAGCTCTGAGAGCCAGTTGCAGCTTTTTTCTGTGCAGAGGATGTTTAATACAAATCTCCTGTTGAAAACAGAGCATTAGAGTCACCGGAACTGTACTGTTTCAGTGAGATTTTCATGCACACCGGTATATGTTTTGTGGTTGATTTTAGATTTTAAATGGCATGTCAAAAAAATTAAATAAAAATAAATAATAAAAAAAAAAAACTATGGTTGATAATTTTTTTCAAGATTTATTCTCTTGCGTGCAAATATTTTCCAAACAGTTTACATGCAGATTACCCTGTTACTATTATAATCCATAGTGACAGGCCAACTTAGACAGCTACATAACCAAAATATAAAACAATACTAATAAGAATAAACCTTCTCAAGTTCCTGTGGAGTGGCAGAGAGAAGGGTTTGTCCGCTGTCCACCCACTGACGCGCCAAACTGACATACTGCCCCAAAGCACTGTCCTCCAGCCAACCACACACCTGCTCCGTTGTCCACTTAGAGAAAGATGTGTGTGCCCTAATGATGAGAAGATTATAACATAATTACAGCAATAACAGTTATTTATCTGTTATATGAAGGAGGTATCCCTCCGAAGTCCTCTGCACCTCTGGCCCTGTCTGTTCATGAAGGGAACTTTACCGGGATGAGCATCCAGAATCAGGGGCCCGTGTTAGCCGAGGCCCAGCTGTGGCCCTGAAGCCTCCTCTCTTGAACTGAATGGGCTCAATGTCATCTGACAGCACACCTGGCCTCTTCATCCTCAAAACAAACACACCCTGTCAGATGCTTGGTTTACACTGGTTTCACACAGAAACAGGGAAGATTTTTATAATTTAATGTTGCAGTTGCCCTTGGTCATAATTAACTCACTTTCCCCAAAGTCTGCGTATGCTGCTATTTTTGACGTTTTCTTGGAACACAGGAGACTGATGGCCGGAGTTGACTCTTATTGTTGAGTGGCAAGTACCATAAACAGCAACATAATATTGCTGACGAGCTGCGCAAAAAATCGTGCGAATGTGAACGTGGTTTTGCGCAGCTCGTCAGTGAACAACGGCTCTGTGTAGTTAATGCTGTTCAATGTGAAAGCCCGCAGGTGATGGAGATTTACCGCTGATTACAGAACCGGCTTTCTGACAAGATGCGCGTTAAATATCGCATGCGATTTATCGTGCAGCCCTAAAGGCATTGTAACGAGGAAGCTCAACTAGCACATGTTCACTATACAATATTATTCCTTTGAGGTAAGGTTACTTTTTAAAAAAGGACGAACTTAGTTATTCATTACTGACAAAATATCTATTGTGCATATCTTGAACGAGCGATAATAGCATGTGTTCAAAGACTTGAAATATTTTTGCACCGACAAGTGATTCTAATCCCATGTCAACATCTGTAACGTTTAAGTGAAGTGTTATGGTTATACTTTTGTAATAGTGTAATAATTGGATATTAAATTGCAGTACTGCATGCTTGACCACTATGGCTTTAATTGAAAGAACATTACTTTTTTTTCCATTCCTTTTTACAAACAAAGAGATGGATTATTTTTTCTGCAGCAATATAGAAAACCATAGGAGTGGTGAATTGAAAAAAAAAATATATAAAATAAAATAAACTGGAATATTCCTTTAAATACAAAGTGTCTTTTTAAAATTTCAACACAGTGAGTAAAAAGGATAAAAATAAAAGGAGGGAGAGATTTTATTGTGGCATTCGGCCCTATTGCACTGTTTTAGTTTTAGCTATGATTTACACATATGGAATTTACATGCAATTACTAAAGACAAAGAACTCTCTGTGTGTGTGTGTTTTTTTTTTTGTTTTTTTTGTCTTCAGTACTATTAGTTGAAAGCAGCTGTGCTAATGGAGCAGCAGAGACTAACGGAGCAGGTTTTCATAGGCCAGTCTCCAGTCTCCCTGCCTGTCAAAGCATGTTTGGGCATCTGGCAATGATTTGACTTCCTCAAGTCAAGCTTCAGTTACAGGGTGGGTCCTGAACAACAGGTGGGGCCCATATGATAGCTCTGGCTCCTGATGAAGACCCTTTCATTAGAATCCATCAAAGGCACAGGGTTTTAGGAAGAGTAGAAGTGGTTTTGCACCAAAATAGGGGCGGATGAAAGACTACAAATATACATAGTCACACACACACACACACACACAAAAAACAACTTTAAAATTCACCAGAGATGGGTGGTTAACTATCTAAAATAGGTTTCGAGGCATAGTACCAGCTCTAATAAAAGTTGCATAAAAAAGTCAAAATAGTTGGTCACTTCACATGTCATTTAGGTGGACTTTTTCTAAGTCAGTTCTTTACTTGAATAAGCTCCAATATGGACCTGACTTTATGCCAATAGTCAAATTATGCAAGATCATCTGTTCCCTGACAATTACCTCCATCTTCAACAGGTAAATACTAAATTATTACGATAGGCTTAAAAGAATCAGCAGTGACTTCAACACAGGACAAGATATTGTGAAAGGGTCTCATACTAAGGTTGATGTCTTCATCCTTGTTTTCTGGTCTCCTCTGGTCTGATGTGTCACTCATCTCACGCTCTCTCTTCTCTGGGTGACTCAACACTGTTGGGAGTGTCAGATGTCTGTTATCAGCTGGTCGAGTCTATAAAAACGGGTGAGAAGTGAAGTGTAGGTAATGCTGGCTGCTGCAGACATGTTTAATACATGTTTAATCTTCAAAAGTTTCCTATTATAGCATCAGCATTACACCTCTGCCAATAACAACATGGCCATGATTTTGTCACGAACACGGTGTGTGGAAACAGGCAGGATGACGAAGACGACAAAGAATTCCAATAATCACTTTAATTTATCGACAACAAACAGGAACAACCAAATATGGACACAGAGGGAGAAACCACAATCAACAGTTCACAGGTGTGTGACAGATTGCCCCCCTCCCGGAAGGCGCATCCTCGCACCGTGGAGACAGAGGGAGGGACAGAGGGGGACTTAGGAGGATGACAAAGGAGTGGATGTAGGATGGTGACAGGGGAAGGCAAAGGGCTGGCAGGCAGACCAGACAGGTGGAGGTTCCGGCGGAGGACGGACTCCCAGGAGAAGGACGACTAACAGAGTCCAGGGAGGTGACGATGGAGGGAGGAGCCAGGAAGATGACAGGAGGGAACCAGAGCAGGAGGAGGAGCCAGGTGGGACCCAGGCCACAGCCATGATAGCGGCCCACGGTGGAGCCGACGGAGGGAGGAGCCAGGGTGGAGGAAGGGCTGACAACTCCAGTGGGCTGACTGAAGTTGGCGGAGCAGGTGGTGGAGGAGCCCGAGGCGGAGAGCCGATGAGCCAGGGCGACACCGAGGATCTGGAGGGCCAAGGCGGAGCAGATGGCGCTGGCGACCGAGGCGGAGACGGGGATCCGGAAGGTCGCGGTGGAGCTGGAGTGACAGAGGACTGAGGTGGAGCCGGAGGGAAGGAGGGACGAGGCGGAGCCAGAGGAGTGGAGTCCCGAGGCGGCGGATGGTCAACAACTGACCAAGGCGGAGCCGGAGGAACGATGGAGCCCGGTGGAGCTGGTGGACTGACGGGCCATGGTGGAGACAAGGGAG